GTTTTTTAGATAGGTGAAATATTTTAAAATGTCAAGGCATGTCAGACTACCCCGAAAGTGGAAAAGAGGCCTCAGGCCCCAGGGGGTTAAAAGTCGAACCAACCAGTTCAGAATAAAAATGACCTAGAACTCGATCTGAATCTCAGAAGTCGAACCGTGAACGTCGACACGCGACGCGTCTCTCAGCAGAAACAAAGGGTAACGCTTCAGTCTCAGCCTCGCATTCACTGTGATAGCATAATTTGTTAGTGATAGTGCTTTTTTTATTGAAAATACTGTAGGTATCAGGTAATACACTGTACTTTATATCATTTTCATAGCAATTGCTCACCAAAAAGTTACGCAGTAGTTGTACAAATGTTACAACGTAAAACTTTGTGATTTACGAACAAATTAACGAATACAGAGTAATAATAAAAATAAACAATGGACAGCATGGCGTTGTCTAGTGTTGGGGTATGGCTTGGGGTTGTCACGATCTGCCGAGCCAGGACCAGGGAAGCAGGGACAGGATTCAAGCAATTGGGAAACACGGGGATTAATTGAGAACAGGCAGAACAACACAATGACATTACAATTACCGGACTGGGGAAACAAACTGAAACATGGACTAAATACAGAGGACTAATGACAACAACCAGAAACAGCTGATCACACGGCATTTCCACACGAGGTTAACGAGGGGGTGTGGCACACAGAAGGAGCGTACAATCGGGGCAGGACAGGGGTAGTGTTGGAGTACATTCTTTATCGTTTTGGAATCCATTAAAAAATGCTCTTCTTGTTTTATCCTGTTCATTTTGTGTTTAAATGCTAAAAAAACATATTTAGGTGTAATTTTTTGAGGCCGAGAACCAATTAATTGGTTTTCCATTATTTCTCATGAGGAAAATTCGATCAGAACTCAAACTTTTTAGGATTCAAACCTGAGTTCTGAATGGATTAAGTTTGAGTTCTGAGGTACCATTGTATATGATTTCAACTGCTCAACAGTGCGAGGTCTCCTTTGTCATATTTTTCATTTCATGGTTCCCCGAATGTTTTCAATGGAAAACATTGCAGGCATATGTTGGTCCAAAATCTGTATATATCGTTCAACATTGATGGTACCTTCCCAGATGTGCAGTTGACCAAAGTTGGCAACCATGAATGTTTGAAAATGTAATATAATTGTATTAATACTTATAGTAGAGAGAAGGGCCACAATTTGTGTGTGCGCTCCGTGGGATTTGAACCCATGAGCTCTGCGTTGTCAGCAAAATGCTATACTTGTTGAGTTAGGGCCAGTTAATACTCAATGCTCGCAATGTGTCTGCATACGCATCATGGCTGCCACGTTTCCTACATTGATTCCACACATTTCTTGTGCACCTACACAAAGAATGAACACTATGTGTATGCAAGATGCGGTATCACCAAAAATCTTGGGTGCAGTATAGTCATTTTTTGTCATGGGACTGTGCATTGTTCAGATAATATTTAAAAAAAAAAAAACAGATGCTACTCTAAGAATGAGTAGCTGAAGCAGTTTGAAATTATTCTGCTTCCAAATTCAATCCAAGTTGAGAAAACAGTGCGTATGTACAAAGTACAATTAAATTTTTATTTGAACGCCTTCTCCACAGACCACAGACAATTAAAAATGTTACAGTACAAGAAGAATACTCCAGTTGGGCTGGGTGATATGCAATTAACATCACAAGTTATGCACATGCAATTCTCAGGTTGCAGCTGGATTGAGATTAGGTTTCATAATACCTTCATACTGTATGTACATTATACTGTGGTATAAAGGATTTTCATAAGAAACTACATATTGAACGTATCCATGCTGTCATGTATAAATTTGTTTCAATAATCATTTTTCATGGTATCAATTCTACAGCCTGTATTTCCGGTTTACTGGAAATACATTGGCTTTTTGCCAAATGAAGAGGGTAAACCACAGGACATATGCAAACCTGTATTCAAGTTGTGCCACCAAGTGGGTAAACATGTGCAGACTTTCATGATATAGGTATCTCATTTCCGAATGAATAAAATATGGATCTGTATAAGCCTACTGTAGTTGAAGGAGAGGGGTGATGTCCATTTTTTCTATTGTATTTTGTAGGCAGTTAAACATTTCTGCATTAAAGAAGGCAAGTAAAAGTACAGATACTCATCAACGAGTTCTGTTCCTATGACTAGATCGTTAAGCGAATCAGTTGACAGGTCGATATTTCAAGCACAAGAACAGAGGAAATCAGCTCTAATATACATTTCTTAGGCTTGCATACTGTAAATACAGGTCATTTTTTATGTATTCTAAATAAAAGTCTAAAGGAATCTTGATAACTGTTTTAAGTTGCATAACTTGTACATACCTGTATTAGAGGAAATTATAAAAATGATGTACCAAAAAAAAATAAAGTTATAAAACAGATATTCAGATTAAGATTTTAGTTAATCGAACCCTTCAAAGTGGGGAAGTAGTTCGGGGTCATCAGCATCATTATCAGAGTTAATAGCAGGGGTATAACGTGCTGTAGAGGATCCAGGTAAGGGAGATAACAGTGAGGAAATGGAAGAACTTGTAGGGGTGGGGTCCTGGGCAGAGTGCGAATTACCCCTCCATAATTGGGGGGTACTGCCTTCATAACACTTCTATGACCATTATGGTCCGCTACCGCGTGAATACGAATAGCTGCCACCAGGATCAATGTTAAGAGTGAAAGATTCACTAGGGGTGTTTACTAACATGTATGCAACACACGGTCATGGTCTGGACATGCGACAAAATGAGAATCAATACAGAAGATCTCATTATCCTTATCCCAATCCAAAAGATTTCGGTTTTGATAACTCCCAGGAATTATCTTAGAAGAAGTATATTATTAAAAGTAATAAGCCTATACATTTACAAACAGCCTGGTCTGGTCCAGCAGTCTGGTGTTATTCCTGCCCTCTCAGTCCCCCCAGCTCCAACAGCATTCAGAAATAAATATTTGCCTATTAGGCTAATATCTGTCTTGATGATACAGTAGATCTTAAAGTTCAGCCTAATTTCTAACTCACCTCTTGGTCCTGCACTCTGTCCTCATCCTGCCATCTCCATGCTGCCTGCTTACTGTCCTGCGCACCATCCTGATCCTGCCATCTCCCTGCTGCCTGCACACTGTCCTCATCCTGCCATCTCCCTGCTGCCTGCTTACTGTCCTGCGCACCATCCTGATCCTGCCATCTCCCTGCTGCCTGCACACTGTGCTCATCCTGCCATCTCCCTGCTGC